CCCAAAGGCTCCTGGGGCAGACAGGGAGTGTGCTCTTTAAAGCACAACTGCTACATCTATGAAAAGCCTGCTTGCTACATTAGAGCAGTTGAGTTTTTTAGTAAAAAAGTACTTTGGACTTGACTTATAGGAATACTTGTGAAACTTACAGTACTGTAGTACAATAAGAGGAGTGTCCAATAAGCATTGTAAAGTATGGCACTCCTTGAAACTCTGATTGCTTGTTTTATCTAGAAGCTCCAGCTGTTACACTATAGAGCAAAAAATAAAGTAGAAAAATAAATCAAATTTGGTGATTATGTTGGTCAAATCTCAATACAATGTCTGTATATGCCTGATTTAAGGTTTTGGAAGACCGGGAGCCTTAAAAACGAACCAATAACAAAACAGTACCCTGTAGCTTTCAAACGCCTCTGTAATGGGGATGACATTGTGGTTCTTGTGGTCTCGAGACATCCCGCACACTAGGCAGATGGGAAGCTGGTCGTCCTCACAGTAGAGCTTCAGCTTCTCCTCGTGCTCCTCGCACATATCCAAACCCATTCCCAGGCGTGGCCAGTGCCCGATGGACGAGGCCACGCTGCTCATGCTGGAACCCCGCTCGCGGTCCTCGGGCATCTCCAGCGTACCTTCGTGGTCCCACACGCACATCCCCGCGGCCGCGTCCATGGCGCGGGCTCTGCGCACACTATCCACGACGTTGCACAGGAGCGAGTTGGGTCGCAGTTTCCGGGCGCACGACTTTCTACACTTCGGGCAACTCGAGAGCTCGTCCGCCTTAGCTTCCCAGCACTGGATGATGCACACCTGGCAGAAGTGGTGCCCGCACTCAAGGATCACGGGATCATGGAAGAGTTCCAAACACACCGGGCAGGTGAGCTCCGACTGTAGCTCTTCAAGCGCGTTGGCCTCCGCCATCGTCTACTGCGCTCATACTTCTCAGAAGACACGTCTGTGGGAAACACTGTGACGGGGAAACAAGACTAAACTGCTCTTCCGTTCACATTCAGAGAGGGAGTGGTCTGACGCTGACAGCAGTACGACTTTTTTCACGGAAGCGACCAAAGGCGTGTAGAAACAGGCTCGGCTGGGCGTGATGAAGGGCTCCATTAAAGGGCGCAGTGTGTTTACGATTGCCCTGAGCGAAAGAGGGTTTCTTAGAAGGAAGAGAACAGTAACAAGAAAGGTCACGTTATTGGTGCGAGGAAATATACGCGGAATTTTTAAAAGGGGGTTGTACCAGGAACAAATTGGCTGACTTGTTGGTTTATAAGTTTTTAAATTATTAAACACTTACAGTAAATAAATCAGAAACGTGTGAGCGGAAACTTCTGTGTAGTAGGGTAAAAGACACAAACCAAAAAGTGATTTCCCGTATTTTCCAAAAAACGATTACCCGTATATAAACAGCTCTGAATAAGTTGTTGGCCTATAAACTCATACAAATATATGGCAAACCTATCTCTCTTTGAGCATATCGAGTCATTTTGAGACAGAAACATCATTCCTGTCATAAAGTAAAATCTGCAATTAGTTTTTGCCATAGTTGCTTTTATTTATCCTTTATTTATCCAGCGCAAAAGTTTTATTGACATTAAAAATGTAGGGTTTTTTTTTAAAGATCTCGCCAAGAAGGCAGCATAAATTGCAACAATTATGACATCACAGCTCTATAAAGATGTTTTAAGTGGCCAAAAGGGGCTGGATTCATTACAATGTAGCTACAATAACGCAGAAATACTTTTACTAATTTCTATATTTTATGTATAATCTCTTCTTAAATCCTATTGATCACAGTCTATTTACAAATATAAGTAAAGACATTAAACATGGAAACATACAGAAATCAGATGATTGCTTTTTGGAACAACACCCATCTCA